GTATCTGTCTGTCTGTTCACTTATCAATTATATAACACTAGTGATTTAGTAGTGCAGGCCTTAATTAATAATACACTATTCAATGTTAAGTTTGGTTTTTGCATTTGTGGTTTTTCCCATTATTAATGTATAATAGTATATCAGGAATGTCACAAAAATTAATCTTTTTACTCAGCATACACATTTGTCAACATGAAGTAGTGTTAATGTCTTTTATAATTTCCTGGTGGCTACTTCATACTTTTAGCTAATTTTTGTCACATTCGTTACATATATACCTTAGGTTATAACAAAATTATTATAGTTTTATTTTGAACATTGTAGGTCTCTGGTGATTACACTCACAAAAATGTGCATTGATTTGTATGGGTCGAATGTAATATAGAAAGATGTATGCTAGTGTATGTGGCTGTGCTCTGTTTAACAAGGAGAATAAGCATGGTAGAAATAAAAAAGTTACATGATGCATTAAGTGAATTAGTTGTAACATTCAGTAATGAAGTTCATTAGGTGGGAAATACAGTGCCTGCACTCTGAAGGAGGAGTTATGTTTTGAAGGGTCATTTGATTGTTAGATCTGTGCATGCTTGGTAAGGGAGGTATTTAATGAATGATAAGTGTGTTTTGCTCTTTGGGTTGTCCTGCCCTGGCAGGAAATGGCAGATGTAGTAAAAAAAATGGGGGGAAGGGGGGGAGGAGCAAAATGACAACAAGTACAGTAAAGCCTCAAATTAACAGACTCCCATTGAACATATTTCAGAAATTGCAGACAGAACAGTTGACTAGACAAACATTAGAATCATTGGACAAAATGAAAAAAGCCTAGATTTCACATTTTGTCCATAGCAATAGTGTCCAGTAGTCTTTTAAATCATCAGGCTTGGTCCAATGATTCCAGTGTTTGTCCAGTTTAGGCCAAAGTGCCCATGTCCAGGACCTGTCTGTTTTCATTGTTCCCTGAGCCATAAACTGCCCACATCAGTTTATTGTCTGTGCTTACTCTCACATACATGTCATTCAGTCTCCAGTTTTCCCCTGGATTTTTAGTGTTTTGTGTGACTTTATTAACATATTAAGTAAACTGCAACTAACAATGGCTTCTAAAACAAGTTGTGGGGCCAAGAATAAATGTGTGGTTGTCAGTGTTAAGCAGAAACTTGAACTAATAGGGAAGGTTGAGTTTGGTGTCTCAGACTTCATCTCTCCATCATAAAAAGGTAAGTAAAATTACTGCACTGTACATTACTAGAAAATTATTATGTACATTTGCAGTACCGTTGTTCAGTACCTTCATTTTAATTTGCAATTCTTTAATATACAGATACTGTATTTACAATACAGTACTGTGCCTATATTATGCTGTATTGTTGTACAAGTTACTATACCTATAATCTTAAGTGTCTGGTACTCTTCTGAATCAGCTGAAAAGTCTACTCATTCAAAATTTTGTCCAGTTATGATTGTGAAAAATTAATTTCATAATTTGGAATCTACTGACAGTAATACTGTACACCCTCTCCTCCTTATTAGTCCATTAATTAGAGGGTTCACTGTGTATATGAAGTATGTAAAAGAAAAATGTGTACACTTATCATATATTGCTCAAAGATGTTTATTTTTAATGAGCACCTTTATAACTGTCTGTTTGTATGTGTGTGGGTGGGGATGGGCGTGTGTGTTTGGGTGGGTGTAGGTGTGGATGTGTGTGTGTGGAGGGTGTGTGTACTCAGTTATATGTGGTTGGCGGGCTCGAGTCACAGCTCCTGGCCCTGCCTCTTAACTAGTCGCTACTAGGTCACACACTGCCCTCTCCAAGAGCCTGATCATACCTTTTCTTAAAGCTATGTAGGAATCCTGCCTCCACTGCACTCTCCAGATTGCTCCACTTTCTGACAACTCTAGGACAAGAAATACTTCCTAGCATCTCTGTGCTTCATCTGAGTTTTCAACTTCCAGTTGTGTCCTTTTTGTTCCTATGTCCCATTTCTGAAACATACGCCCCTGTCCACCATGTCAGTTCCTCTCAGTATTTTATATTTTTTTTTCAACATGCCATCTCCCACCGAAGCAGGGTAACCCAAAAAGAAAGAAAAGACTTTCAATGTCATTCAAAACTTAAACCATCACTTATGCATAATCACTGTCTTTGCAGAGTTGCTCAGATACGACAGCTTAGACATCCCTCCAAACTGCCAATATCCTAAGCCCCACCTTTAAAGTGCAGGCATTGTACTTCCCAGTACCAGGACTTAAGTCCGGCTAACCGGTTTCCCTGAATTATTTTTTTATCATAATTCTTATTCTTATTTTTTTTTTTTTTAATGTCGGCCGTCTCCCACCGAAGCAGGGTGACCCATAAAGAAAGAAAATCCCCAAAAAGAAAATACTTCCATTATCATTCAACACTTTCACTTTTCATATAGTCGGACTTGAGTCCTGAAAATGGGAAGTACAATGCCTGCACTTTAAAGGAGGGGTTTGGGATATTGGCAGTTTGGAGGGATATGTTGTGTATCTCTATACGTATATGCTTCTAAACTGTTGTATTCTGAGCACCTCTGCAAAAACAGTGATAATGTGTGAGTGTGGTGAAAGTGTTGAATGATGATGAAAGTATTTTCTTTTTGGGGATTTTCTTTCTTTTTTGGGTCACCCTGCCTCGGTGGGAGACGGCCGACTTGTTGAAAAAAAAAAAAAAAATTCACCTCACTCACACATATTCACTGTTTTTGCAGAGGTGCTCAGAATACAACAGCTTAGAAGCATATATGTATAAAGATACATAACATATCCCTCCAAATTGCCAATATCACAAACCCCTCCTTTATTATTATTATTAACACATCGGCTGCTTCCCACCAAGGCAGGGTGGCCCAAAGAAAAACTTTCATCATCATTCACTTCATCACTGCCTTGCCAGAGACAGGCTTAAACTACAGTTATAAAACTGCAACATTAACACCCCTCCTTCAGAGTGCCAGCACTGTACTTCCCATCTCCAGGAATCAAGTCCGACCTGCCAGTTTCCCTGAATCCCTTCATAAAATATTACCCTGCTCACAGTCCAACAGCTCGTCAGGCCCCAAAAAGCACTTTTCTCCATTCACTCTTATCTTACATGCTCACACACGCTTGCTGGAAGTAAAAGCCCCTCACACACAAAACCTCCTTTACCCCCTCCCTCCAACTTTTACTAGGAAGACCAATACCCCACCTTCCCTCCACTACAGATTTATAAACTCTCGAAGTCATTCTATTTTGTTCCACCCTCTCTACATGTCTGAACCACCTCAGTAACCCCTCCTCAGCCCTCTGGATAATAGTTTTGGTAATCCGACACCACTTCCTAATTTCCAAACTATGAATTCTCTGCATTATATTAATGCCACACATTACTCTCAGACATGACATCTCCACTGCCTCCAGCCTTCTCCCTGTTGCAATGTTCACCACCACTCACCCTTTTCCCCCTCATCAATTCTATGATACACCTCATCCTTCATAGACCCCTTCTGCTGACACGTCCACTCCAAAATATCTGAATACATTCACCTCTTCCATACTCTCTCCCTCCAATCTGATATCCAATCTTTCGTCACTGAATTTTTTGTTATCCTCATCACCTTACTCTTTCCTATGTTCACTTTTAATTTTCCTCTTTTACATACCCTACCAAACTCATCCACCAACCTCTGGAACTTCTCGTCCAAATCTCCCAAAAGCATAGTATCATCAGCAAAGAGCATTTGTGACAACTCCCACTTTGTGTTAAATTCTTTATCTTTTAACCCCACATCTCTTGCCAGCACCCACACATTCACTTCTCTTACAACCCCATCTATAAATATATTGTAAGGTAAAAGGACACAAGTGCAACTAATGTGACATTTATTGTGGCAACGTTTCGCTCTCCAGGAGCTTGATAAAGCTCCTGGAGAGCGAAACGTTGCCACAATAAATGTCACATTAGTTGCACTTGTGTCCTTTTACCTTACATATTGTCGGTAATTCTACCAACTTTATTATAAATATATTGAACAACCATGGTGACATCACACAACCTTGTCTAAGGCCTACTTTTACTGGGAAATAATCTCCCTCTCTCCTACATACTCTAACCTGAGCCTCACTAGAAACTCTTTACTGCTTTCAGTAACCTACCTCTTATTCCATACACCTGCAACATCTGCCACATTGCCCCCTATCCATCATGTCATATGCCTTTTCCAAATCCATAAATGCCACAAAAACTTTTTTACCCTTATCTTAATACTGTTCACCTATATGTTTCACTGTAAAAACTTGGTCTACGCTCCCCCTACCTTTCCTAAAATCTTCTTGTTCATCTGCTATGCTACTTTCTGTCTTATTCTTAATTCTTTCAATAAAAACTGCCATACACTTTACCAGGTATACTCAGCAGTCCTTTTTCCCTATATTTTTTGCACTCTCTTTTGTCCCCTTTGCCATTATACAGAGGAACTATGCATGCTCTCTGCCAATCCCTAGATACCTTACCCTCTTCCATACATTTATTAAATAATAGCACCAACCACTCCAAAACTATAGCCCCACCTGCTTTTTACATTTCTATCTTTATCCCATCAATCCCAGCTGCCTTACCCCCTTTTTCTACCCACTGCCTCACGAACTTCCCCCACTCACACAACTGGCTCCTCTCTCCTACAAAATGTTATTCCTCCTTGCCCTATGCACAGAATCACAGCTTCCCTATCTTCATCAACATTTAACAATTCCTCAAAATATTCCCTCCATCTTCCCGATACCTCTGACTCTCCATTTAATTACTCTCCTCTCATTTTCTTAACTGTCAAATCCATTCTTTTCCTAGGCTCCCTCAACTTATTTATCTCACTCCAAAACTTTTTCTTATTTTCAACTAAATTTGTTGATAACATCTCACCCCACTCTCATTTGCTCTCTTTTTACATTGCTTCACCACTCTCTTAACCTCTCTTTTTCCCTCCATATACTCTTTC